TTGACTCAATTGTCAGTCTATATTTCAATCTCTCTGTCTGCTATCCAATTGTTGCCGTCACTTTATTTGCTGGCTTATATACTATAAGAACACGAGTCTAGCAAATGCTAGGACGTTTGACAGGTTCCTCGATCTTTCTAGATACTCATTACATGTTACCAGCATCACGTGACTTCCGCTGTCATTACACTATTATTATACCCAAGGAAAGCTGGATATAATATAAGAAACAAAAATTATCTGCTTAGAAGCCTACAGACTTGACATGTGTTGTGTAAATGATGGTTTTTGTAAATCAGGTCTATCATTTAACTTGTTATTTTTAAAACTTTCAAACAAAATTTAAGATTTTTTCAGTGATAGAGCTTTTAATTAGAAGTAATAAAAAACATTTTGTAAATGTAAAATGATGCAGTGCCAAACAAGAATATAGGGATGACACAACGATCCTCACTACATGACTTTCAATATTAAAATTTAATGTTAGACTGTTAAATGCATGAGTAAAAGACTGAAAGTTAGTGTATTCTATAAATGTGTGTAATAAAATTTAATATTATGTGAATTGATTATTTTTTTACTCCTTCACTTCATACATAATATAAGGATTGGCTCCCTAAAGACACCAACTGTATAGTGTACAAAGCATTAAGTATCTACATGTTACAGTCATCTAATGTTCATCTATTATTGGCTGGTAGTTCCCGTTTCACCTTGAACTTAAGATTTTTAAAGGAACATCAGATATCTGTAAAAAAAAGCTAATTTCAAGGGGTAATGATAACATTGTTTACACTAGACTTATGATGTTGTTGTTTTTATTATTATTACTACTAGTTATTAGAACCAAGCAATGACACAGAGTAGATTTAGGTTTAAACTGACATTAGTGATAAGGTAGTTATAAAATTATCTTGACTGAAATAAGAAGAAGGATGAACAATTTGGTGTGTTGGTCACTTTCTGGTTTGGTATCTTAGTGATGGTTTCTTGTCTTATTTTGGGGCTTATTGGGTAGAGAAACAAATGAAAGTGAGTGGCAATCATCTTTTAAAGTAAAACTCTCTGTCATCTTGACTTTTTAGCATGCATATTTGTATCATCCCTATTGAGTACCTTGGCCATCCTTAAATATAATCTATCAACTCTTATACTTAAGTCTAGTTATTATCCAATTTTTGGATTCAAATAACACGTGTTCTTCAACAGTCTCAAGAAATACTTCAAGTTATAACATAAAAACATTTTTAATCAGTTGTTGTGGTTTATTTTAAATTTCTTTCCTTCACAAAACTTACCATGTTTACCCCTAATTATATCCAGATATTTACACAATCTTGGATGGTCTATTGTCTTCAACTTTTGAAATTTTCCAAGAATTCTAACTGAGTTTGGTGTAAGAGGCAAGCCATTGATGCCACACATGTCTGTTCCATGAGCAGAAGCAAAAAATGTCCAAGCTCCAAGCACTGAAGAACCTAATTCTCTCATTATCAGAACTGTAAAAAAAAATCCCACTTAATATAATAACACATCAAATAAATACATAGTGACACTGTGAATAATACTTTCAGCATTCTACTGTAAACTAATAATACGTCAAATAAATACACATAGTGACACTGTGGATTATACTTTCAGCATACCACTGTAAACTAGTAATACGTCAAATAAATACACATAGTGACACTGTGGATAATACTTTCAGTATACTACTGTAAACTAATAATACGTCCAATAAATGCACATAGTGACACTGTGGATTATACTTTCAGTATACCACTGTAAACTAATAATACATCAAATAAATACACATAGTGACACTGTGGATAATACTTTCAGCATACCACTGTAAACTAATAATACGTCAAATAAATATACATAGTGACACTGCGGATAATACTTTCAGCATACCACTGTAAACTAATAATACATCAAATAAATACACATAGTGACACTATGGATAATACTTTCAGCATACCACTGTAAACTAATAATACATCAAATAAATACACATAGTGACACTGTGGATAATACTTTCAGCATACCACTGTAAACTAATAATACATCAAATAAATACACATAGTGACACTGTGGATAATATTTTCAGTATACCACTGTAAAATAATAATACGTCAAATAAATACACATAGTGACACTGTGGATAATACTTTCACTATACCTCTGTAAACTAATAATACTAGTGACACTGTGGATAATACTTTCAGCATACCACTGTAAACTAATAATACATCAAATAAATACATAGTGACACTGTGGATAATACTTTCAGTATACCACTGTAAACTAATAATACATCAAATAAATACATAGTGACACCATGGATGTATTGTCCATGTAATGTTGCAGCTGTAGAAATGTTGAGAAGTTTTGCACCTCATGTATTATAATACTGTTGTAAACTATATTTTTTATATTTTAATTTCGAGGTTAGTTTGCTGGAAAGAACTAATCATAATGATCATGCAACACTTGGAAGCTTTCTTGTAAATAAAAGAATAATAGCATTACAACTGTAGACTGAATGAGTTAATCAGTTTAGTTGGTTAGTAAGTCAGTCAACATGTTTGTTATTGTTAAATTAGTGAATCAGTCAACCTGTTTGTTATTGTTAAATTAGTGAATCAGTCAACATGTTTGTTATTGATAAATTAGTGAATCAGTCAACATGTTTGTTATTGATAAATTAGTGAAGAGCTGTTTCAAATGAGTTAGGAATTCATTAGGAACACAAGGAAGTCTTGCAAATAAGTTAGCCATACAGTTTCAGAACTTATGTTGAAAAGTGAATGAAATCTACATCAAATGTTAACAAAAATTAATTAATTATCATTATGTGGACTAGAATTCACATTATTTTTACCAAATAATCCAAAAATCCTGCCCAACAATAGAACACCTTACAAAACTGCAATTACCTACACAAGTCTAACTCAAACAGTATCACATTTTCATGCACTCAACTTGTTGACTACCAGTATTTCACACACATTACTTGCTGACTATCGGTTATTTCACACTCATTACTTGCTCACTATCAGTTATTTCACACTCATTACTTGCTGACTATCAGTTATTTACACTCATTACTTGTTCACTATCGGTTATTTCACACACATTACTTGTTCACTATCGGTTATTTCACTCACATTACTTGCTGACAACTGGTTATTTCACACTCATTACTTGCTGACTATCGGTTATTTCACTCACATAACTTGCTGACTATAGGTTATTTCACACACATTACTTACTGACTATCAGTTATTTCACACACATTACTTACTGACTATCGGTTATTTCACACACATTACTTACTGACTATCGGTTATTTCACACTCATTACTTGTTCACTATCGGTTATTTCACACACATTACTTGTTCACTATCGGTTATTTCACACACATTACTTGTTCACTATCGGTTATTTCACACTCGTTACTTGTTCACTATCGGTTATTTAACACACATTACTTGTTCACTATTGGTTATTTCACACTCGTTACTTGTTCACTATCGGTTATTTCACACACATTACTTGCTCACTATCGGTTATTTCACACACATTACTTGCTCACTATTGGTTATTTCACACTCATTACTTGCTGACTATCGGTTATTTCACTCACATAATCTGCTGACTACAGGTTATTTCACTCACATAACTTGCTGACTATAGGTTATTTCACACACATTACTTACTGACTATCAGTTATTTCACACACATTACTTACTGACTATTGGTTATTTCACACACATTACTTGTTCACTATCGGTTATTTCACACTCATTACTTGTTCACTAACGGTTATTTCACACTCATTACTTGTTCACTATCAGTTATTTCACACACATTACTTGCTCACTATCGGTTATTTCACACTCATTACTTGCTCACTATCGGTTATTTCACTCACATAACTTGCTTACTACAGGTTATTTCACACACATTACTTGCTGACTATTGGTTATTTCACACACATTACTTGCTGACTATCGGGTATTTCATGCACAGTACTTGTTGATTATCATTCATGATGTCAGAAAAAATGTAAGTTCAATAAGTCTAGATACAAAATGACAAAAACCTATAACCTGAGCACTTTCAAAAAGTGGACCTTTTTTCTTAAGGGGCAAACTGAGAATGGTGGTGTAATCAAATGTGTGATATATAAAGGGAGTTGAGTGATGTCATGAAGGTCACCTGGTCTTCCAGGAAATGTTTAGTATATTTTTTCATGTATAAAAAAGTAAAATAAAGGTGACACCTGGAGACTGATTGAAAAAAAAAAAGAGATCTTAACTAATTAGTTTATACAAGCAGGTATGAAAAGTTATCTTAAATAAACAGTGAGTTTTAGAAAAGATAGGGTTCATGCTACATGGAAGAAATAAGCAAAGAATAAAAATTATTGTTCTGACAGAGATGAAATCAGTGATTGGAGATCACTGATTCCAGGATCTAGATCGATTCCACAAGATTGAAAAGTGTTTAGATTAGTAATCCAATAAGCTTCTTTTATCTCTCTATCAGCTTTAGTTTTGAAACCTGTTTCAATGTCGATGAGAGTAACATTGTTAACGGAATGACTGGGTTGGTTAAAGTGTTGAGAAACGGGGAGATATTTTTCAGTGTTAAGAGAAGATTTATGGTTGTTGAAACGTTCTCTAAGAGTTGTTTGTGTATGTCCTACATATTGGTGATTGCATTTTTTAAACTGTATAAGGTAAATGGTATTCTGTGTTCCACAAGTGATTTATTTAGATATTTCAAAGTTTCTCTGGTTGTACTTGAGTAAGCACTTTTTATGAATTTGCAGGTTTGATGAAAAGCTTTATTGCATGGATGACAACCATTTTTTTGGTGGGATGTAATTAACTTTTGTGTGAATCACAATAACTTTTAGAGTTCTGCTTTTTTGAAAGGAAACAACGGGAAATTCAGGAAATATCTGTTTATGGTAATCATTAAGTTGTAGGAGATGAAAATGTTCTTTCAGAATTCGTGAAACATTTCTGAGTTTAAATTGATAGGTAATAATAAGAGGAATTATATTTGAAACTTTCGTAATTCTCTGTTTTAGGATATTTTTCTGCTCAGTGTTGTTAGCCTTTTTGATCTGTCTGCCAATTTAAGTATCTATATAACCTCTTTGAAACATGGTTTGTTTTAGATCCTTGGTGTGTTTTCTGTAGCCTGTTTCGTCCAAGCATATTTTCTTTATTCTAAGAGCTTGAGCAGGGTGACAGCTTTTATAATGAAGGTATTGTGGTCTGTCTGTAGCTTTTTTTTTTTACAAGTCAGTGTGTAAATTTCTGTCATTTATAAAGAGAGCGATGTCAAGAAAGTTAATTTGGGTAGGCGAGTAATCAAAGGTAAACTTGATTTTTTTGTGAAAGGAATTTACATACAAGATAAATTCTTTATGTGGTTCAAGACCAGCTGTCCAAATGAAAAATATGTCATCTATGTTATGTTCCCATGTATGAGGTTTTACAGAATTTAGTTGTAAAAGCTGGCTTTAAATATGACCCATAAAAATGTTGGCATAATTGGGGAGCATTTTTGAACCCATTAACATGAAGGTAATATTCATTATTGAATTTGAAGTTGTTCAGAGTTAAAACAAAGCTGACAAGATCAGTTACTGTTTGAGAATCTGATGGGATAGAAAGGTTTAATGCAGACTTTAGAGTTTCTAGTCTTTCACCATGTGGAATATTAGTGTAGATGGAAGAAACATCCATCATGCATTGAACCTCAATGTTTATTTTATCCTACCTTTCTGAGCAGATGGTAGAGGAGAGTAAATATAAGATAAAATATACAAAAATACTAAACAAAACAGCAGATATGCACTTCAGAGATTCTACAGGTTATATAAATACAATATGTAATTGTATGATGGACAAAAGTATTTTTATTCTTTGCATGAACATTACTTTGAATTCCAACTTGTCAGAGTTCGAGTAAAAACTGACTTTGTCAATTTACAGACATCTTTAGTACAAACAAATTTGTCATAGTCTGAGTAAAAACTGACTTTGTCAATTCACAGACATATTTATTACAAATAAATCTGTCATAGTCTGAGTAAAAACTGACTTTGTCAATTCACAGACACATTTAGTACAAACAAATCTGTCATAGTCTCAGTAAAAACTGACTTTGTCAATTCACAGACATATTTAGTACAAATCCTCTATTAACACATTTACTTTTTGGTATTAAACAGACTTGTACATTTTACAAAATGCTTGCCACATTTTTTTGTAACTACAAAAAAGTAACATCAAAATTAAACAGGGTCGGTATTAAGGAACGACCCAGTGCAACTTCAGAATTATACAGGGGTCGGTCTAATGGATCAACCACATGTACATTCTGTTTATGAGCATCGCAGTCTTGCACTATAAACTACCAACTTTTGATATTACAATGATCATCTAGCTTATGACTTGGAAATAAAATCCTGATTTTTCAAAGGTAAAGTGAAAGCTTCATGAGATTAATAATAGCTTGCATTAAGGATAAATTAAGATTAAAACAATAATAAGCTTGTATAATATTTTTCATCCAATTAATGTTTATCATCACTTCATTATATTCTTAGATTGAATCAAAAACTTAATATATATGATACAAGCACAGCATCCAACATAGTTTTCATTACATATGCCACTGGTTACTGTTAGAAACTTGAAACTTCCAAATTTATGAGCAAGTGATGTTTGTAGAAAAATGATAGGTATAGAATGTAACAAAAACAGTTTACCTGACCGAAAGATTTGTTAAATGCTGTTATCTGAGGGTCCTAAGGCATTTTGTTTCTCCTATATTTACCTCATCTAGTGGTTGCTCTATCTCAGAGAGCCATCTCGGGTGTAAGCTTGGAATTCAACTATCTAAGTATGTGCATGGTTTAATATCCAGCCTGGTATTGTCAGCTTTTATTGTATTAGAGAGAGATGTCCTTTTAAAAGTTATATAACTCTTCACCATTTATTATTAAAACATGATGTTCATGCATATTCTTTAAGGTTGCCCAGGTCCTTTTGAATTAAAGTCTCTCTACAACATCAGTCTTACCAAGCAAGTCCAAAAATAAATTCTTCCAATCAAAACAATTCCTGTTTATGATAACTAGTTTTATCACAGTCCAGTTTTTTCCTCACTTTTCAACTTCTGTTGTGAGGAACATCAAAACTTAGTAATTTTGTTTCATACTGCACGTTATTGGAGAGCTTCAAAGAAATATACCAATCATTATTTGAAAATGTTTCATCCAAAGGCATAAATCTTATGAAATACCCCAACAACAATGCATTACAAACTGAAGTATCAGGACTCAAATTACAAGTGGACAATCTTGACAATTGCCATGTCTATATTTCTTCCATAATAAACGGACCATAATGTTCACAGTACTCTTACATAAGGCCTCAAGTGGTATTCAAAGTACCAGTAACTTTTCTTACTCCTAAATTGAAAATGTTTATACCAGAACTTCCTTTCAACATAACTAAATACATATCACAAGTCTTCATAGTCATACCGTTTCTGAATAATCTTCCTCTTGCTCCAAAACAACAATGATCCTCTCAAGTTAAAAGTCCTTTCCAAAATTTTAATACAACAAATACACTACTTTACATTTCTCACTACTGAAAATAAGTTTTCACTTTCACACCCACTCAACTTACCAGTAAATGTCTGGTTCTTCTGAATTAAAGAATCATCCTTTAAAAGCATCTCAATCTGATCAGTAAACTGTTAAAATATTATTTTTCAAATAAATATCCAAATTACTGACATACATATTGACCACTAAATGTAGAAAATGGCCTGTAAAGAAACATCACTTTCTTCAAGCTGAAATATAATCATCTTTCACCACGAAGCTGATTTTCTACCCACTTTTTCATAAGTTTAATAAAAACCTAAGTTTTGAGTTAGTTATCTATTGCATTAGTAATAAGGAGACTATATCAACAACATTTACGTGTTGTTAATATATTACTACTAGCTGGTCATTATTACTTACAGTTAGTTTCTAGTACTAGTAATAGTATTATACTTAATGATTAATTTATAGTTTATACTAATTTGGTTTCCCTACTTAAAGAGACCATTTCATGTTCATAAATTAATGTTTGTTGAAGAAGTTAAATAACGTTAGCAGCTTTTGGTAATTTGATTGTTTCATATTATTTCGTAAATTTGTTGCTACGTCAATTTTTCTTTTAAAATTTTTCATTCTTGCTCACCTGTTTTTCGGAAATTACCTCCCTGTAACCAATCCACTCACATCCGGTGGAACGCTAATACAAACTGTGAAGTAGCGATTTATATTTTATTTTTAGTTGTGGTTTTGTTTGTTGTTTATCTAGATTTTTTTTCTATCTTTTATTTCGACCATACTTTTATTCGCCTTACAAACGCTAGATCATCTGCTTCTTATTTTAAATATTAAATAAGTTATTTGTATATTAAGAAACTAAGCTGGGGTTCTCCTAGTGGTGACGTATGGATACTAAGTTCATGTATGATTATGTAATAATAGATAGGCAAACAACGATTTATGAGCACAAGGAAAAGTTTTATTGATGGTGGAACATGCTACATGTTTCTGGAGAAGACAGAACATTGATCTGTCGTCTCCAAAAACATATAGCATGTTCAACCATCAATAAGACTTTTCCCTATTCTCATAAATCGTTGCTTACCTACCTATTATTATATTAGCATAATATGCTTCCTAACTCAAGAGTGATTATGTAAAACAAATGTTATATTGTTAGACTGAATCGCATATCCCAGCAGCTATTTATTTAAATATGCACTACCGGCATTTGTGTTTAAAATTTTAAATTATTATAAATAATTAAAAACAACGTTTTGTATTTACACAATAAAAACTTTATTGAAGCAGTACGGCATCCACTTTAAAACAGAAATATCACTCTACACGTACATGTTTCAACGTGATCTACGTCATCCTCAGAAGAAACTTACAAGACTATTTTATACTTTATACTGTTACGTCTCTAGTCGTTAGTTAATTTTCCGTAAAAATTCTTTCCGAAGACACTTTAGCGATACAAGTCC